GGGGAGGGACAGGTCCGGTGGTCGGCATAGGGAGGGGAGGAAATCGGGATGGGGACAAATGGTCGGAGGGTCGGGATGGGGAGGGGGAAGTCGGGATGGGGAGGGGGAAGTCGGGATGGGCGCAACTTTTGTTTTTTCTTCTTTTTTTGGCAGCGCACGCCACTGCACCACGTGGCACACAAGCAATTGCCGGAACGTTTTGTTGGGATAGGGGGAGGGGGCGACCAGGTCGGGATGGAGGAGGGGAGAAGCTGGGATGGAAGTTGGGATGGGCGAAAAGGGCAACGAAGTAGGGATGGGGAGGGACAGGTCCGGTGGTCGGGATAGGGAGGGGAGGAAATCGGGATGGGGAGAGATGGTCGGAGGGTCGGGATGGGGAGGGGGAAGTCGGGATGCGGGATGGGCGCAACCCAAAGCCCGACGACGTTGGGATAGGGGAAGGGGAAGTCGCGAGCCGGGGTGGAAGTCGGGATGGCCAAAGGGGGCAATGAAGTCGGGATGGGGAGGGACAGGTCCGGAGGTCGGGATAGGGAGGGGAGTATTTCAGGATGGGGAGAGAGGGTCGGAAGGTCGGGATGGGGAGGGAGAAGTACCCAAAGCCCGACGACGTTGGGATAGGGGAAGGGGAAGTCGCGAGCCGGGGTGCAAGTCGGGATGAGCAAAGGGGGCAACGAAGTCGGGATGGGGAGCGACAGGTCCGGAGGTGAGGATAGGGAGAGGGGGGGAGTCGGGATGGGGAGAGAGGGTCGGGATGCGCGACGAGGTCGGGAAGGGGGGAAGTCCGGATTGATTAATTGATTGGTTTGTACGAGGGAGGTTTGTGGGTAAGGGAGAGGGGAAGAAGTCGGGATGTGAAGAGAGGGTCGGAGGGTGGGGATGGAGACGGGGAGATCGGAATACGGGATGAGGGCAACGAGGTCGGGGAGGAGGGAAGTCCAGATCGGTTGATCAATTGGTTGGTAAGAGGGAGGGGTTTTTTGTGCATAAAGGGGGAAGTGTGGACTTTTTTTTTTTTTCCGTTTTTTTTAATTTTTTTTAGGGGAGGGGAGAACATTGATTGGTTGGTACGAGGGGGGGATACACACACACACACACACACGCGTACACACACATACCCCCACCAATCACATACACACACACACACACATACACACTCACACACTCACACACACACACACACACACACACACACACACACTTACTTGCGTGGTGTTTGAAATGAGCTCCGTTGATAAATGAACGGACTTTGTTTATATTCGGGGGAAGGTTATTGCCTCCTTGATTGATTGGAAGTGGGGATATGGGAAGGAAGAAGAGGATAGGAGGGGAGATCGGGATAGGAATGGCAAAAAAGGAGAGGAGAGAAGGAGGGGGGGTCCGGATGGAAAAGGTCCGGGCGTGGTACAGGTCGGGAGGACGAAGGGGAGGGAGAGCAGAAGGAAGGGAAAGGTCGCGATATGGGAAGGAACAGGATGATGGAAGGAGGGGGGGAAAGAGGGGGAAGGGTGTCGGGGAAAGAAAAACGATGCCGGGATAGTGAAGGTCGGAGAAGAGATCGGGATGGGAGAACATCAGGATGGAATGAAAGCTCGGGATCAGGAATCGAGAGCATCGAGAGAATAAAAAAATTGACTCTTTTCAATGGTTTTTTTTTTTTTTTACTCCTTTGATAGATGGTATTTCCCTTTTTTTTTTTTTTTTCTTTCTTTGATGTGTGGTGACAAATATATGGATGAATAGACCATTTGTCCAGACTGATAGAAGATTAGCATGACCCCTGTGCAAGGATAACACACATAAATTGAAAGATGGTCCAAATTTCTGATATCTGAGATGAGCTTTTTTTCCTTTTTTTTTTTCTTTTTTTTTTTTTTGCCTGTAATCGACTCTTTTTTTATTTAACAGCCATGTGGTGAACCCCGTAATAACCGGAAATCTATTTACATAAAAAATGTCGCTT